TGCTCTTTCTAGCTGCGATCGCGTAGGATGCCACACAGTGTTTGACCTCGACCTACATTGTGCACCCTTCCAAAGAATGCCACAACCTAGCTTGAACCCAAGGTAGCTGGGTTTGAGGCTTGTCTCTAATGACATAACGGGCACTCCTGGCAGTGCAACTTTCTGGCAAATTTGGCGTTCTTTTGAGTCAACATTTGTCAAGACAACTGCACTGCCAAAAATGGCTGTACAACAATCAGGAAAGCCTTACCAATTGACGAAATAAGTACAAAAAAACAAGAACATATTTCAGAGAGTCTTGACTGAACCCTCCCACACAGCACAGACCTCTGAATGTTTTTTCGCCAGAGCGTCTGCGAAGGGTCCTTCGTAAAAAAACATCTGCAGAACTACGTCTCATCTACATCTTCACCTCTGCACATCTACATTCTCACCTATACCTCTGCTCATCTTCACATCTACATTCACATTTGCACATCTACATCTCGGCTCATCTTCACATCCTCACATCTTCACATCTACATTCACATCTGCACATCTACATCTCGGCTCATCTTCACATCCTCACATCTACATCTCTGCTCATCTTCATCTTCACATATCTACATCTCTGCTCATGTTCACATCTGCACATCTACATCTCTGCTCATCTTCACATCCTCACATCATCTCTGCTCATCTTCACATCCTCACATCTACATCTCACATCTGCACCTCTCGCTCTTCTTTACTTTCTCTCTTAAGGCCGGGGGCGGTGCCGCCGGACCGCCACGAAACGCAACCCTCTGCGGAGATCGTGCGTGTCGAATGTGCGAAATGCAGGCGAGTGTGCGATTTGTCCCGGTCGCGGGCAACCCTCTGCGGAGATCGTGCGTGTCGAGGGCGCGAAATGCAGGCGAGAGTGCGATTTGTCCCGGTCCGGAGCAACCCTCTGCGGAGATCGTGCGTGTTGAGGGCGCGAAATGCAGGCGAGAGTGCGATTTGTCCCGGTCCGGAGCAACCCTCTGCGGAGATCGTGCGTGTCGAGGCTGCCAAGTGCAGGCGAGAGTGCGATTTGTCCCGGTCCTGCGCAACCCTCTGCGGAGATCGTGCGTGTCGAGGGTGCGAAGTGCAGGCGAGAGTGCGATTTGGTTGTGTCCGGCGCAATCCTCTGCGGAGATCGTGCGTGTCGAGGGTGCGAAATGCAGGCGAGAGTGCGAGTTGGTTGTGTCCGGCTCAACCCTCTGCGGAGATCGTGCGTGTCGAGTGCGCTTTGGTGGGGAACAGTCCATGCTGGCGGTCGCCGGGGACAAATCCATGCAGGTGCTCTTTCACTGCTTTGGTGGCATCAATCGGAGTGCAGGGATTTTGCGCGCTTGGCTCGTTGTCGCTTCCGGACTGGAAGCCGTGCAGTTGCTGCTTCAGAGAAGACCAGCGTTGCGTCCTTGGCGCAATCGACCCTATATGTCTTGGAATCGTTGTGGCACCTGGAAGGTTTGCGCGCGGAATGGCAGAGAGACTTCAGCGCAACACACCGAGGCTAATTCATGTCGCGGGTCGTCCGTCGAGACTGTTCGGGACGAACCTACGACATCATCGCTCAAACGACGGGGTCCGCGGCTGCCACAAAAAGGGACGTGACGTTAATATGTGTCTACTTCACCTGCATGACAAACGATGTGCAGTTGGAACGCACGAGTCACTTGTCATGATCTTGGTGGCAACTTCAGTGTGAAACGTACGTTCTTCAGTTCTATTTGAACTTCTTCAGCGTTGTGCTTGCACAGCTAAGGTTGACGTTGCGCTGCCGTTGCGTCGACGCATCTCCGTCTACATCCCCTCACAGTCGCTCCTGGACTTCTGTCCTGTCTTTCTTTCTTTCTACATATCATTCTCTCGCCTTTCTACATTTACATCTTCGCACGCTCACATCAACGAATCTATACCTCCCCACCTCCATACATCTACAGATCTATATCGCACCTGCGCATCCACACTGTCACTCCTTCACGTCCACTCTCTCTTTCTCTCTTTCTATACATCTTTTCGACAGTGCTGGACAATCACATGTCTCGCTCTCGGGCCAACCGTCGTCTAGTTTTATTTCTTTTGTTTTTTGGTTTTTGGTATTTGTCCACAGGGGCTAACATTTTCCACAGAGTGCTCTCGTGGTAGTGCAGCTTTCTTGACACATGTTAAGTCTTCTCGCAAATTTATGTTCTTTTGAGTCAACATTTGTCAAGAAAACTGCACTGCCAGGAGGGCATTGTTAACATTTGCCAAGAAAACTGCACTGCCAGGAGGGCACCCTGTTTCATTTGTCAAGAACACTACATTGCGAGGAGGGCACTCTGTTAACATTTGTCACGAAAACTACACTGCCAGGAGTGCACTCTGCAGAAGATTCTGCACTTTGTAGACATTTCTAGAAGAAAAAACTAAAACACACAAAAAAACTTGTTTTCAGAAGTTTGTCCTCGGTGGGAAGGTTTAATCAAGACTCCCATAAGTATGTGTTTTGCGTTTTCTCAAGGTGTTTTTTGGTTTTGCCCCATGGCGGCCCCTTCTGGAGAGCGGCCGCCGTGGGGATGGGGCCTCTAGGAACACAGTTTCTGAGAAAACAGACAGTTCACAGCAAGAAAGAGAAGAATGAAGTGGACTATGGTGGCAACGTGAGCTCACAGAAACACTTTTGGAGTCTCGCATCGCCAAGAGGGAGTGCGAACCATTTTCCATGCAGTTCACAGTCTATCTGTATAGCATAATTTGCATCATGTCAAGTTACTTTCAACTGACTTCAACCCTTTTGAGTATCAAGAAGAGGTGCGTAAAATTAGATTTGAACTGGATTGTATACTTAGATTTAAGTTAGTGTTGAGCTTGAGAGAAAGCTGAGCCAAAATTCATGTAGAGGTGGGTTAGAACCGAACTACAGTTGAATTAGTAGTTACTATGAGTAGTCCATTTGTTGTAGCATTTGTTACTATGAGTAGTCCATGAGTAGTCCACAACTGCCCGCTCTCATAAACTCTGTATAACTATGCGCAAGGCAAAATTATAGAGCCGAATCAAGCTGTGAGTGCAAAGTTGGCCTTGATACCCAAACAGCGCGTCACATGCTCTGAAGGTGGTTCATCACGCTTGATCATGCCTCTTGCAAAGTGGAGCTAGGCACTTTCCATTTTGTCAACCCCGACTCCTACGATTGCTTGGGCGATGAAGTTGCAGGCAGTGGTTCTCAGTCTGCTAAGAATACTTCGTGCTGGGTTGCATCTGCAGGTGACCATAAAAAATGTTTCCATAGCAGACTTATCTCCGTGTTTGCAGGCTGATGCAGTTTGGGGGACAGCTGGCGAGGACGGAAAAGATGGCACGATACGAGAAAATTTGGAAGACTTTGAACATTTGCTTTTTGATCAGACTTCCGGGGACGAAGAAGGGAAAGAGCCGACCGTGGCTTCGACTCCGGCAGACATGCTGGAGGCGCGCCTCGCCAGTCAGAGCGTGAGTTCAGTCACTCGCACGGGATATGAGCTAGGCTCAAAATTAGTGAAAGTGACGAATAGTCAGTGAGTGGCCATGGGATATCAAAATGCATAGGTTGCTCGACAAACAATAACACACTCACTATGAGGAACGTGGAAGACGACGACGATAATATGATAATGCACTCACCAAATCATGATGACCTGCAACTCCACAACAAAATTTTGACTGCTGTTCATCTGGACATCAAGTTTTTTTTCTGCATGGCGGAGCACACTAGCGCTCAAAGATCTTGTTGTTGTTCTTTTTTTGACACTTCAACTGGGCTGCCAAATGTATTTCTGAGGCAACCTTATTTGGAGCTTGGCTACATGATGCTGAAGCCAACGCGCAAGAAGTGTGCTCAAGGCAGCTTTGCGTTCGGAATGTCATTCCAATTGAAATATGTTTTGTTGATAGATCTCGGGCCCATTCTACATTCCATTATTTTTTCTTTTGTTATTTTAGTGTATCGCTTCCATTCTCCTCATCCGGGAAGGCTTGACTGTGGCGCTCAAGGCAAGGTCCCTGTTGACAGGTCTATTCCAACTCAGTGGCAAAGTGAAACAGACATTGCACATATCAGATATTTATTTCTAATTACTTTTGTTTATCCTTATATACTGTAACTATTCTTTCATTGAATCTTTGTTCTTCGTTCCTCTCCTGCCTTTAGAATGAGCAATGCACAGGGTTGAGGTCTGTTGAAACCTACCCTTTGCGTCCAGGATGAACAGCGGGACCTTATTGCTTGTGCACACACGCTTTGTAAGCGGTGTGCCTCAATAGGCTGCCTTGTACATTTCGTTCCCTGAGGCAGTTGTTCCCCCGTTTCGTTCACTTTCACACTTCTGCAGAAGTGTTGGTTGGGCCATTTTCTTGGATGGCCTTTGCATTTGAGGTGTCCAAATGGAGAAACTCAAAAAAATAATACATCCGATCCAACTATAATTTTGATATGCCGGCCCAGCAGCTTTCAGACGTTCTAGAATCTCTAAGAACACCTCAGCATTTTCCAGAGTGTGATGAAGTCGGGCGGCCTTCCAAACTCAAATGAAACTGTTTTGTTTGACGTGCTTGACAAACATGACTTTACTCATGATCCTTCACCTGAAAATACAGCTCTTTTCATGCCCGCTCTGGAATTAGAAGCAAATGATTGCATGTACGAATTGGCTTTGCCACTTCGCCGCTTTGTCCCGGTTTTCACACCTTTCCAGCATCCCAGATGGGCAAAGCATGTCGCCGCAAGGCACGCAGGGGAAGACTCCTGGAAGACCTCAAGTTGCAGTTTCAAGTGCCGTCTTGCGGTGCCGCAAGGGGGCGCTGCAAGGCTTTGCGTCGCAAGGTCTGCAAATTAGCTTGTGGCAAAAATGTGTGGCTAGTTCGCAAATTGGATGAGAACCGCGTACAATGAGTCAGCGCATTCTGCACTACCGGTCTAAACATTTTGTTTTCTCTTTACAGTGGAACCGCCACGATTGGAGTTCCAACATGCTCAGCCTTCACAGCTCGATCCCTGCTTTTTAGCTGAGACGGAGGCGAACATGTAAAGCCACTGCTTTGCTTCAGTGTTTTTGAAGCTTCTTGCCTGAGAGCTGATGCAGGCTGTTGGCCATGGCGCTGGTTGCTGTCCGACGCTCGCGTGATTTTCCAGAGGCTTGAAAGATTCAGACTGTTTGGACTCATGGCCGGAACTTGGGCAGAGGGCAAACAGACAAGAAAAAAGAAGGTGCGAAGTGAGAAGCTTAAAAAACCATCTTTTATTTTATCTTTTTCCCACCTAGTATTGCAGGGCAGAGTGTTGGGCCTGGATTGCAAGCCTCTTAAGCCCTGCCACTTCCTCAGTCGCAGTGCGCAATACAGCGTGGCATGTGACATGTTTGGTGACAAAGGCGGGACTCCACAAACACGCAGACCACGACAGGCCATGGTGGCCATAGTGGCAATGATCTGAGCTCTTTGCACACAATTGTTCAGAGGTGGCGCCCACCGGTTGGACAATGTGCGAATGTGAAGCTGATAAGGAGCTGAGAAAGCATGGTAAGGCCTTGTTCTTTTCATGCAGCCTATCCTCATCTATTCTCCATAGTTACAGTATATAGGTTTCCCTAAAAATCTAGGAACCAAATGAATATATAGTGTGAGCCCTTCTTCAAGGAAGCTCCACCCCGCCGTCTTTATGGCTGCGGGGGGAGCTTCCTTGAAGAAGCGTGAGCTATCCTGCGTCCAGTAGGTAGTAGCGTTCTTGTAGCTACTAGCTACCTAGCTTCTACTAGCTACCTACCTAGCTAACCTACCTCTGCGGACTATCCCCCGGGCAAAAAAGAAAAAATCAAAAAAATCAATACATATGTTTTCTCTTTTAAGGAATGGGTTCTTTGCGATCGAGTTGATGCTGTGGCGGTAGCCCACCTGCGCAATGAGATCTGTGAGCTTTGCAGCTTTGCTTTCTCATTTTCAGATTGGTAGAAGTTGAATTCTTAAAAGCGGAAGATTTCAGTCAAGGCTGAAATGGCTGCACGCATTCAAAGGCACTTGTGTGAAGAGGCTCAAGTTTTTGGGCTGATAGCTACCAATCATCAACTCCGCTGCCACGCTCGACTGAACTCTTAGTCGTACTTGCTTTGTGGTGGGTTTCAGTCTGGACACAATGAGCTTGACCAGACCATCTCTGATTTGGCAGAAGTGGATGTGATGAAGGAGGCCTTCGTGTGTGTGTGTGTGTGTGTGCGAGTCGTCGAAGAGTGATATTCAATACAGAACAAATCATTTTCACACAAAGCTAGCGACAATGGGGTGACAGATTATTGATGTTTCCAGACTCATTTGGAGTGGCTTTGGTACCAGTTTCTAACAAAGCCAAGCTCAAGGGAGGGCCGATCGTAAATGGGAATCTCAGAATCATGAAAGGATCTATATTTTTGAGCCTCCGCGATTTAATTACGCTGCATGCGATTGATCGGCGATTGGCTCGCGATTGAGAACCATATTAGAACCAAAGAAGCTTCAGAACAATAGAATGCCCAGAGGAATTTGCATAAGCAAGAAGAACACAAGAATGATGTTGATTTCTGCATATTTACAGCCTTCGGCATGCCGCCGGCCACCAGCTTGAGCCCGCATTGGCAGGCAGCTTAATGATACAATACCCTGCTCAATCATACTTGTTGGTGCATTGGAGTTGCACATTTGGCTGGGTGAGTTTGTTGATGTTTATTTCAAGGTTGTTTGACCATGAAATGGAACGAATCCGAATCAGAGGTTGTCTATTCTGATCCAGCGATCCGAACCGGCATGTCTCAGTCGAATCACCTAAGAGGAACCAATTGAAACCAACACAAGCAATGCGAACCAAGACTATCCACAAAGCATGACCTTGAAAACGACTCTTCTTCCAAACTACTTGGCCGTTTGCATGTTTTCCTTTTCAGATCTTTTTTTCGACCGTCTCGAGGGATTGCGACACGCACCAGATATTCTTTTTCACACACAGAAGGCTTCAAAGCGACCGAAGAATTTCTAGATCTGGCATGATTTGTCGTTTTTTCTCCAAACGGTTTGAAATGAAAGACCCAGAATGACATCGAACAACAATACCCTGCTCAATCAGACTTGTGGGTGCATTGGAGTTGCACATTTTGCTGGGAGAGTTTGTTGCTGTTGATTTCAAGCGAAGTCGTTTTACAATGAAATGGAACGAATCCGAATCAGAGGTTGTCTATTCTGATCCAGCGATCGACATGTCTCAGTCCAATGGTTGTCTATTCTGATCCAGCGACCTACTACCTACTACGTACTACCTACGACCTACTCGACCTACTACCTACTACCTACTACCTACTACCTACTACCTACCCTACTACCTACTACCTACTACCTACTACCTACTACCTACTACCTACTACTACTGCTACTGCTACTCCTACTACTACTACTACTACCACCAGACGTAGAGGGGGGGGGGCGTCAGGCTGTCGCATAATCCGCGCGGAGAGACAAACCGTAGATTGAAGCCAACACAAGCAATACTAACCAAAACAATCCACAAAACACGCCGGCAGGCCGGCGGATTTTTTCCCAGATAGCGAGAGCTAGTGGAGTTCTTACCTCAAGTATAGGGAGAGTTGCATGTGTGCGCTTTTGAGCCTGGGTGCTGGTATCGCTGCAGGGTGCCGCTGCGCTGTGCGCTTGGGTGCTTGGATGCTGGTGCCGCTCCTGTGTGGGCTTGGCGGCTTTGGTGCTAGTGTCGCTGCGTGCCACTGCTGTGTGCGGTTGAAGAAAAACCAAAGCCGAAATCCGCGATTGAGCCGCGATGGTGATGGTGAGGCGATTGTTAGACCTCCCTCAGTGGCCCCTAGCCCACGCCATTTCGCTTTCCCGCTTCTTCGAACTTTATTTGGAGAAGGCCAAGCTAGAAGTGCAAGGGCCAAGGCATGATGTGAATGTGACCAAGCATATGACGTCAGGTAATGGAAAAAGCTGGCTAGTCTAGCCCAGACTGTTACCTCTCATGCTTTTGGTCCTGCTTTAGAAGATGCAAGCAGCCAACCAAGTTTTAGCATCATCAGCGCACACGGCCACATACTGTGCAGTCATACCAGCACCCAAGCTCCAATTCGCACACGCGCACCTCTTCCTATACTTGAAGTAAGAACCCCAATTGCTCTCGCTATCTGGGGAAAGACATCCCGCAATTGACAACTGCGTGGCCGCGATTGCAAAGGTTTAGCCAAAATTGAACCATCAAGTAACAAGAGCTTCAAACACTCAAACACCGCACGCAACCCATGTTTGAACTATTTCAGCTGATGCTGACTCATGCTGAGCCACGCCAACCAACGTACTGACCAAACCCATTTTGAGACCCAATGTCCAAGCCATGTTGTGGCCAATGGTGGCATGTTGGGCATTGTTGGGCCTGTCTTGTGAACTATAATGAACTAATGAGAAATTCAAAAAGCGAGAGAAGACACTTGAGTTGAATGTATGCCTCTATGTTGAACCTGAAATACACAGGTGCCACATCTGCCAAGGAGTATTGCAACATATACTGACCTGCGTGTATTTTGGAGTCCATGTTCCACCCATTTATGTTTGACTGAGGTAGCCTCATACTGGTGTCTTGTGAGTGTTTGCCATTTTAACCGATGTTGACCCATTTTGAGCCATGCCAAAAGTGAGGGTCAATGCAAAATGAACAGCCGCCGCATCCGCATCTGAAACAGTGGAACCTAAAGGTTCCTCAATGCAATGTTCCAAGAATACAAGTGGTGGCCCGGACCACTGAGCAGCAACCTCGCAAAAGCAACTTGTTAGTAAAAAGAACTGTAGCTCCTTCGATGACTCCCTTAGGCAAGCACTTGCCGCCTCCTTTACAAGGTCAGCAATCGCGCTTGTTTGGACACCAACTTTCTCAAGTTCATATTACTTCCAGCAATGAAACAGGAAAGCGCCTCAAATTCAGCATGGGCAACACAAAGGCCTTCTCTTTGTTTCCAACGGTGCCTATGCGCGGGGGGTTTGCGTCAATTTGTACAGGCGGAAAACCTGCAATATAAATTGCATGCAGGCTTCGCCCATGGCCAGTGTGGGAATATTTTGTGAGTCCTTAAGCATCCATTTCTGCAAACTCCTGGTCGACATCTTTGTGGTCCTCTGGATCAAGAAGCCGATTCGGAAGTTGATGTGTGTCAGCCATTGCTGTCACTCAAGGGTTGCAGCTTCGAGCCTGGGTCGGCTCTATGATCTATTGCAATGTTTGCCCAAGCCGCTTCCTTAGCTGCTCTGTCCGCACTTCGATTGCATGCAATTTCTAGCTTGGTAGTACCATGCTCCTTGGCTTGCTTGAGTGCAATGTCCGGCAACTCGCACTTTTGACGAATATGCCAACGAATCCACTTTGCATGCATGGGGGTCAGGTGTTGCCCTCGACTTGAAAGTTTCCTACCGGTCAAGTTTCCCACGTACACTGCCACCCTGGTAGGCATCTCCGCATGGAATCCATGATGGCAACAATTCCGGCTGAAGAGTGATGCGTATTGACCCGCAAGTGGTTGCATACGCAAAGAGAGGTGTTTCATGGGAGAGCAAATTTCTGCTTAGTGGCATTCGAAGAACATATGACTGCCCTATTGGCCTTCGAGCTCCCTCTTCCCAAAGGTACTTGTTCTTTCAGCCGAACAAGCCGTTTGGTTGCTAGTTTTTGGGATAGGCCTTCTGCCAGTAAAACCATCGCACCTTTTGCACTACAAATTTATCAGTTGGTCAACTCTTATCCTTTGTCAAGCCAAATTTTTGATAAGGGTCTCATCCCTTTCAGTGTGATCTGGATGCCGCATGCACATCCTTCTTCTTCTCCTCCTCCTCCTTTTTCTTCTCTTTGCATGGACACAGTTGTCATCCTTGATCTTCATGCAACTTTCTCTCCTGATCCAACACTTCTTTTTGGTGTAGAAGCCAAGTACCCTTCCGTGTAGGAGCTTCCTCCAATGCAATCATAATCATAATCATAATTATAACTATATAACTTATATAACTAATCGGTTTTTAGTCCTTCCCCTGTCTCTTCTGTTCCCTGATGCCGAAAAGATGCCTAGGTCTTAGAATGATTTTGATGTTCGTGCGGCCATTACAGTGTAATTTGTAATTCTTTAATGCTTCTTGTCGACCTTCTCTTTTGGAGTAAGGTCCCGTTAGGGTCTCTCCTCTTTGGGTTGGGCTTGCAAAGGCACGCTTTGGTGCAATCGCAAAACTCTTGCCACACATGGTTTAGGCAACTGTGCGGCTTGCTGAAATTCAGCTAGAGCAGGGCAATGTGGAGGCCAGCTCTGGGACATTCAAGCTGAATTGAAGCGTTGAAGGGAAAAAAGAAGGTGCTTTTTGGGTCCTTTAACAAGACCCTTATCTTTTTTAATTTGTTCTGCCCCCCTACTACTTGATGAAGCCGTCGCCTACTTGATTAAGTCAGGGCTAAGTTAGTAGGACGCTGGATAGCTCATGCTTCTTCAAGGAGCTCCCCCTGCCTGAGGGCGGGGAAGCTTCCTTGAAGAAGCGCTGGCACTAATCATTTGGTTTCTATTTTTTTAAAGGGAAACTTATCCTTCAGTGCCGTCATCAGCTGTTGGTGCGGAACCTGGATGCTGTGAGCGTGATGCATTTTGGCGCTTGGCTCCTGCTTGTTTCAGTGTCTCCTGTTGCTTCTTACTTTTTGTTTGTATGCATTGGGCTGCACTAATTCCTTTGAACTGAGGGTCTTTCTGCTCGCGAAGTCTTGCAGCCATTCTTGCACTTTTGTTCCTAGACCCCAAACTTGCCTGCGTGACCCAGATGACTGATTCTGACTTGTTTTCTGCCCTTTGTTTTGTGCCTTTCGCTTCCCGTGTCCTTCCCCTTTTGTGTTGCTTGTCTTTGTTTCTCTGGTTTTATGTCTTGCTTGCTTGCTTGCTTGCTTGCTTGCTTTTCTTGGCTCCTCGTTCTTGTCTATATAACTAACTCGGGAATATCTCTTCTGTAGTCTGTAGTTCGCACATTTCTCAATTGTTTGGGTCTTCTCCGGTATCCCCCCTTTTGTGGTTTCTGGTCTTTTGGATTCCCTTTGAGGTTTATGGTTGGTTTTCGGATCATTTTTGGGTGTTCTTTGGCGTTTTTGGGCAGGTAGTCTGCGGACGTTGCACGGGGACCACATCCATGTACATGCAGATATCACGGCTGATCACCGTGACGTACCTGCTCTAATCTGTGGATGTTGATAGCTACGGGCCACTCTAGATTTCAGGCTATTTAGGTGAAGGTAGGTCTGCAGTCACACATTGATCTGCACTTTGGACTTGTTGGAGTCAGTTGGAACGTTTGTCTTGACTGCCGGGCAGGAGGACATTTAGGCAAACACTCACTACCCCTCCCGGGGGGGTCAAAATTGTAACTTACAATTATTGATTTTACGACAATAGGGTTGAGGTAGCCCTATAGGGGGTGAAAATTGTTAGATCTAGGGTTGAGGTAGCCTATGTGAGGATGTTACATTTTTTTACACCCCCCCACTCAAAGAGGTCTTGGCCTACTTCTTGAGAGATTGAAAGGATGGGGGAGGGGGGGTCCAAATTGTAAGAATGGATGGGTGGGCACCTCGCAGAGCAAGTTACAATTTCCCCCCCCTCCCGTGTCGGCGTTGCTTTCGTTTTGGGGTTGAGACACTCATGAACGATCATGAACGCGGAAAAATGCTGTGCGGAATCTTTGTCATCGGTTTTCATTACAGATGGGAAATTGTAAGTTACAATTTTGAGGGGGAGGGTCCATGCTTCTACTTCACCCTCGATGTAACTTAACAATTTTTGAGTGCGCACAGGCTGAACAAACACACATGAGGGTCAAAAATCTCACTTACAAGTTTGACCCCTGTCTTGTCAGATGATATGGAGGTATTTTATACCTGTATGTTCAAATTTCACCGTGTTCAAAAACCTGCATTTCGACACCCAAAATTGTAAGTTACATTTTTGACCCCCTCTGGGCGGGCAAGGTAGAAGTGATGTTCAGCTTGTTTTCCCAGGCTTCTTGTGGTTTCTCTTCGGAATCTCGTTTCTCCTCCTCTCAGTCTTCTGCAAGACTCTTCCGGGCTACCGGACTAACTTCTTGTCGTTTTCTACACGCTTGCCTTTTTTGTATTCGTCGTCTTCTTCTTTTTCCTCTTCTTCTTCCGGGACTTCCTCTTTGTCCGGGACTTCGTCGCCGCAGCTTCCGGTGCGCGAGGTTGGTTGTGCGAGGTTACGGCCTTGAGGTCTTGGCCCGTTTTCTCCATCTTTGGGTCTCTTTAGGTGTCAGTGAGTCAGAGAAAAGAGATCACGGGCACAGCAAGGTGGCCGTGCGCAATGTCCTAAACAAGGAAGGATCACCAGGGCACATAAATGATTCAAGGGAGGTGTGCCCCCCTCTCAATATACATTTCACGGTCTCCAGATTTCATTCGCGGTCTGAAAAATCAGCTTTCATCATTTGCAATGATTTCCTAAAATTGCTCGACCCCATGGGTTCATACAATGATAAAACTAGCACTAGGGCTGCTGGAGTTTCCTGGGATGGGCCGTGGCATTGCAGACCCCACCAGGCAATATGCGTGCGTTCTCCATCTTTCTCCCGCATACATTCCTTTGTGTACCGACATATAGACCATCCGCTTGGACTGAGAGAAATTGAACCCTTTATCACATTTTGTCACTGTTACAGGATGTTGCCAGAGGCCAACAAGAAAACATGAACCGACTCTCAATCCACATGAACCAACAGGATAATTTCTTTACCAGGAGTTACAAAGTGGTGGCGGGCAAAGGGTGGGCCCAGAGAGTGGTTGGAACCAAACGCACACACAAAATAACACCAATGCACCAAGCTTGTGCAGTGCAGTAGATGTGCGTGGCCAGGTGAGTGCGTGCCCCTTAAGATGCCTTAAGACGGCGATTCCAGAAACACCGAGGGAACCACAAAATGTATATTTTGTATTGACATATCCTTTTCCTCTATGTTAAACCCCGTTCGAAAATGCCTTTTCAACACCTGTCCTCCCCATCAGCGTACAGTAGCAGAAATTTATGAAACCACCCCCGCATTGTGGAGATGGACCCAGTGATGAGGAAGGTGTCCAGCGAAGCAAGTGCCCTCACAACCCTCAAACAGAACAAGAGACGCCTCAGATCTTGTGCCCTGCGACTACTGGCAAAGGAGAAGGTAATCGAGGAGGTCAAGGGCGGTGACGCAGAGGGCAAATGCAATCCACTCATGGTGAATTGGGAATACTGCACTGCAGGCAGGGAGAGGAAACACAATAAAACATGATAAAACACGTGCGCAGATATAGTCTATGTATATGGAGGGCTATTTTTCGGGGGCAATATTTTGTGTTGCGTTTAGGGATATTTTTTTGGATTTGCTTCTTGTTTTCTGGTTTCCATTGCTTCTATATGATTGCTCCTGCTTTTCTTGTTCTTTTTGGCGCTTGTTTTGCTTCCTTGCTTTTCTTTGCTTTTCATTGCTTCCCTGTGACTTCTTTTGCCCTTGTCTTGCTCTTCCTGGTTTTTCTCCGACTTTTCTTTACTGTTTCTTGTCCTTTTGTGGAGTATTGGTTCCCTGTTTTCATTGCTTTTGGGGGGCGGCGTCCTATTTTTTTGCTTTTTTTGGTGGGCATCATTTTTGTGTTTTTTTTCGCTTATTTTTTGGTTCTTTTGCTAGCCGCTGCTAGCCATTTTTGGTGCCTTTCGGTGGCGGCCCGGGCCTGGGGTGGGGGCCTCTCACGCCGACTTTTTGGTGTCTGCCGGGACGGCAGGAGGGGTCGTGCTAGGCTGAGGGGTGGTGGGATCTCACGCCCAGGCAGTGGGGTAGCAAAAACAGCCTGCTTCTGACCGGTGGCGCATTGTTTAAGGGCCAGAAAACAAGCTAGCAGCGGCTAGCTGGCGGCTAGCTGCGCCCCATCACTTGGCCTAGTAGAAAGGGACACGGCGACAACATAGAAGCACTGTGTTATACTATACTACATGCACTATATGTGCACACAAAGGGGCCCCAACAGTCTGCAGTCAGCGGTCCAGTCCATAGCGCCGAGCTTGGGAAACAGCTTTGTTTTGCTGCGCTGTACTAAGTCCTGTATTTTGCTATGTTTTTTGACTTATGATTTGTGAATATGTGTTGTTTGCTGGCAATTTTCCAATCATTGTCATTGTTGTTGCTTTTGAGATTTGCGCTGTTTGGCTTTGTGTTTTGCATTGGTCATTTTTTGGACTTGTGTGTTTGGTTTAGCGTTTCTTTTTGTTGTTTCTATTGTTTTTTTTTGTGTTGCATTATTTTTGCTTTTGCTTTTTTTACTCTGTTGTTTTTTTGCTTGTGTTTTTTCATTTGTTTTTTTGTTTGTTGATTTGCTGTTTACAGTAATTTGCATGTTTTTGCTTTTTGGATTTGCTTTTTTTGATCGCTGTTTTTTTTGTTTTTTTCTGTCTGTTTGTTTTTTTTGGTATTTTTTGTTTTTACATATGTATATATGTATTTATCTATTTTTCTATTTTAATTTTTGCTTTTTCATTTGCGTTTTTTTGCTTTTTGGATTTGTTTTTTGCTTTTGCATTTTGTAGTTGTTTTTTGGTGTGTTTTTTGTTTTTATTTTGCAAAACCATCGAAGTGGTTAACATAACCTGAAGGGACAACCCAAGTGCATCGTATGAACAAAACTCTTTCATTCTGTACTCCCTTCTTGATTATGGTGCACTTGTCTTGTGTTTGTTTGCCCTGCGGCCGGGGCTTTTGTTTTTGTTATTGACTTGCTTTCCAGTTGGTTATTATATAGTATATTTTTGCACACAGGCCCTGGACGTGGAAAATGGCCTCCTGGGCAGTTTCCCCACACGCAACGCAAAACCTTTTCCAAACAAAACCGCACTCTATGTGTGTGTGTATGTATATATATATATGTATGTATGTATGTATGTATGTATGTATGTTTTATAACACACGTATGTGCGCGCAACCCGAACACGTAAATACATTTGAGAATTGACAGCTCAATCGTGCATATATGATATGATAACTGATAATTATGAGAACATACACGTACGTATTGCTATTATGTAACATACACGGACAGTGAAATTGTGCAGTCATGCCTCAGGCTTATGGCTATGATCAAGTGTAGAGAACATGTTTCACATGGACATAACCGCAGGCGCCTTGGGCACAAATCTGTCGAGTTTGGTAGCGGAGCCTAGTGCTCCGTTGCCGTTTTTTCCAACGCTGCCATTTGCGTTGGTGCTCGGCGCGGCTGCTAGCACGAGACCGTGC